GATCCTTACCAAAGAGGATCGAGAGTAATGAGTATGTATACCTATATTTAACTATTTAAGTAACATTAAGTAAATACTAAATAATGTCAAATAAAATAAACACATTCAAATAGAAAGTTATTCTTATTGTTTATTCTGGTTATTATTTTAGTATGGGAATCTATGATGAAAGGAGGTTTCTATACTTCCCAAACAACAAACAAATCGGAACAAGAGCTCAATGACCCATTAGGTAAATATCATATAAGATACACTCATACTTGTATGGTCTTAGCATACATGATATATATTTTCCAGTATAAAATCTAATTTGTTTGTTTATGTCAACTTTGTATAGAAACAAGTGGTGGAAACGATTTGGGTTCCGCGTCGAATAACGTCGAAGATATAGCTACTCCACCAGGTGGTTATATCATYGGTCCTATGGTTGTAAGAGTAATGCCTGATGGTCGGCCAGTACCCGGTGACTCTCAGAGACCTCTGCCCAAAGACGAAGATGCAGAAGAATTCATAGCCATGCGATCCAAACCTATGCCATCCATGATCGATATGCTAGGTCAACGGAAACAACAAACACAAAATAGGCCTTCTGTGAGACCATTTAGGTATACGCTTAAACCAATAAACTGATACTTCCAATAATGCGTCCTCAGCTGCAACTTGGTACAGTTTCAGATATGATATTTATTTATTTATTTTTTATTTATTTATTTGCGACAAATTGCGATTGTAACTTTTCTATCAAGTACAATATTTTTAATGTATATTGTTACAAAAAAATACTTCTTGTAAAATTCTATTTCGTCTTTTATGATTATATTATTATTATATTTGTTTAATTAGGTTTAAACACGTTTCAGGGTCCTAAATAATTGTGAATACAATTTTTTATTTTTAAATTTTTATTTTTAGAGTGATACTATTATTTATTAATTTGAAATCATTTTAATTTATTTGTAAATAGTACTGTTAGGTACCATTGTTGTGATATTTATGTTGAAAATTAAGTAAACATTTTGATAAAAATTCTTTCGTTTTCGTATATTATTATATTATTGACCTACCTAATATTATAATGTGTGAATATTGTGTTACATCTTACATGCCTACAAACATTTCATAATATAAAGTATATTTTTTAAGAGATAGTATCTAACTTATAAAAAATGTATAGGTATGTTTTTACATGACACAATATGTATAAAAATATGTCTATCTAATCTGTTACCTACAAATTGGTGGATAATATTCAAAATGTGTAAACGCTCTTTACATATCATATTAGTTAAAAACTTAAAACTACCAACTATAGTGKTAATATTTGACTAGTTTTCCGTTTTTCTATTAAATAATACTATAGGTACCCATGAAAAAAACGTCAAAATCAGTTCATCCGTTACGAAACCTTTCCCAGACAATCATACTTGCCTACTATTTACAGCCCCACACAGACGCAAATGTGTATGTGCGTGTTTCATGCGATATTACATTTAATGATGTACCATGCACGTGTTTAAAATCATAGCACAAATAAAATTTGAATAGGTASTATTTAATACTTTTAATTATGATGCCCAAAAAAATTAGAGGAAAAACGGGTGCCAAGTGGGTATACTATAGGTATATTTATGATTGCTCTACTCCAGATACTCCARTATAGAGTTACAAGTAAATTAGATGTCGTGTGGGTCTCTGATGTAATGGATGTGTAATGTGTTGCGTTTAAATATAATTATGATAACATATAATTTTACATATAGGAAAAGTGATTCTGAGCGAAGACAGTCGGCCTAATAAATTACTGGATAGTAAATATTATACTACGTCACACTATATAATATATRCCTACGACATAATACATATTAAAATTAAAAAAAAATATTGACGTACCTATATCGTCCGAGAAATTTGAACGAAAGGTTACTTAATTATTATACTTTGAATACATACTAAATTAAGTAAGATTAGTAACCATAGACGCAATTTGGGGAGGGGGCTTGGAGGAGCTATTAGCTCCTCTAATATTAAAATTAGTCCCTCCAAAAATGTATATTTCAATTTAAGTATTAAATCCATTATTAATCATCTAATCTATTAGGTATCTACATAACAGTATACTTGTCATACGGTCATACTTATAATCGTTGTTTGAAGAGATTATTTTCTAAAGTTTAAACTTAAAACAATAGTTCATTTTTCGTAAGTTATATCCTTAAACTGTTATCCATATTAGTTTACCAGCAGAACATTATTTAAGTTTAATAATAGTTTTAGAAATTATAATATTTAACGGGATATGTTGAATGAATCCGTCCAACGAACAAATTTTGAATAAATTTGCAATGTCGAACCGACGTTTAGAATTATAACATAATACATAATTACTTATATAAGTAGRTACCTGTAATGTAACTATTTTGTTTCAGTTAAAATATTTTCCCTTTAATAATAGATGTATTTTGATAAAATATGATATTGGTATTTAAAATGGTATGTAAACAGGRAACRTGGAGGACATTGAAATATTTTAAGCCCCTCCAAGATAAAAAATGAAATTGCGCCTATGGTACTAACTGTACTAAAGATAATAATCTATCAAAATAGAACCAAGCGCAGTGGTGGATTTAGCGTCAGGCAAAGTAGGCAGTTGCCTAGGGCGGCAAATTTTTAGGGGCAGCAATTTTAGGCCAATATCTTATTGAAAATATACTCTAGGYTTCTTTTTGATTTTCTTATGTACGGTGATTACTTTGAAGGATCGAAAATKAAAAWGTTTAATATTTGTATAACATAATATTCTTGTTAATATAATTCTTCATTATTTTATAATACTAATACATAACAATAAACGTCCAAGTAAATAATCAAACGACTGCCGGAACGTATATTATCTATTATCTAAATACYAACCATAGATTACATATTTCGTTATTTTGTTTTTTTACTAAGTCGTAATGGGGCGGCAAAAAAAAATTTGTCTAGGGGCGGCAATTGTGTAAATCCGTCTCTGACCAAGCGTYATTTATTTTGTTTTGAAAATTATTAATATTAATCCATACAAACATCTTGTAATTTTAAAATATTTTCGCAGTAGGTAGTAGGTACACTTGAGTATAATTAGGTAGTAATTATTATTATTATTTGGGTGGCAGTATTGTGTTGAACAGTTCCCTCCCGTTCCTGGTTTTTGGACAGGAAAAAAA